GGCTGCCTTGACCCGAGTCCCGTGAATGTGTCGGGACTGTCCTGATGCAAGTAGAAGCCAGCTTCACTTTCTGTAGTTGGAAGTTGTCCCTGCCTGGACAACAGAGCTCTGGGAAAACCTTCCCGAGGAAAGCTGGTGACTCTTGGGAAATACGCGGCCTCCAGTGCTCTGACTAGAGAGAAGAAAATGTGAAAGTCATTTGCTACTGATAGTTTGCTTCCTAGAACTTTCTCATGTTTCGAAAACTCCTATTTCATTAAAAATAATAACATTTAAAAAAGATTTTTATCTGAAATGAAAATATGCTAGGAAAATGGTGGACAATTCTTCGAGAAGAAATTCACGTACTATGAGAAGAAAGTGATTTCATGTTAAAAAGTAAGAGTCTTTTACAGAACCTTCTTGCAGAAAGTATGAAACCCAGAAATTGAAGGTGTACATCTCTCAAAACTTCAATATTTAAAGCCATTCTGGGCCTTCTCTGACATTTTTGCCAGGGTTGAGGCAGGTCCAGGACACTGTGAAGTCCACTCTGAAAATCCCCGGCCCCGGTCCCAGGGTGTTAATGGTGAAGGGCAAAACCTTGGGTTAAGAGTTTGCAGCCAGCGAGGACTTAGGGGACTGCCTGAGAACCCACCGGGCAATCCAGGCAGTCTCCACTCCACCCTGGTGGTCTGTTTCTAGCTATCTATTTAAACATATACTTATGTATATCCATATTTACATATCTAACATATCAGTGTGAAGGTGTACTTTGCAGTGAGAAAGTGTGGGGGTGAGGGGAAACTTACCCTTCCTCCTTTTGCCTTCTGCTTGGTGGTCTGAGGACAGATGGAGGGCGCAGCCTGCCAAGGCTCTCTGGCTGGCGGGGCCTCGCAGTCTGCAGGTGCTTGTGCTCCAGACACCGCCTCACACCTGTCCTTGGGGCCCAAGCTCCTGAGGGCGGCCCGTGGTATTGGTCTTTACCTAGACCAGGCACAGAGCCTCGCAGGGAGCAGCCCAGCGCCCACAGCACAGATCATGGCGTGGGCAAGGACTCTCAATAAGGGGAGGGGCGCGAGAATGTTCGGGCACAAAGGGCTGGACTTCAGGGGGACATAGCCCCCAAGGCAGGGCTAAAGGGGTCCCGGGGGAAGACTGGAGGCAGATTGTCAAAGCCATGTTTCCCAGGACAAATTTGAGGAAATAATAGGGAAAGAAAGAAGGAGAGAGGGAAGGAGGGAGGGAGAGAGGGAGGGATGCCTGCATACCTGAGAAGGAAGAAATAAAAATGATTTTATTCTAATAACCACATATTATTCATTTTTAGGTAAGAAATCTGAACAAGCTTTAATTGGCATGGGTCTGTTACTATCATTTTATAAAGAAAACTGCCAGTGGCTTCTTTTCTGATGCCTTTATCCAGCTTGTGCCAGGCAGAGTGCTAACGGGCTGAGGCCACATGCCACAGAGAGGCTCTGTCCCCCAGGAGCAAGTGTCTCCTGCAACCAGAATCTCAAAGTGTCTGTGCTTCATTAATCTGTCTTTTTTTTTTTTTTTTTTTTTTTTTTTTGTAACTTGGCCCTCTTCTTTGGTAAAGGAAGGGAGAAAAGTATAAGGAAATTGTTTTTAAATTTTTTAGAAGTTGCAGATAGATATTATTAAGAAGCATAATTTTTCTTCTGTTTTGTCAAAATGCTCCACATGCCCCAGTAATTCATGGCTTATTTAGGAGTCATTAAGCACTCCAATTACTAAAACAAATTATGAACATAGGCTCTCCACCAACATGCCAGTTTAAAATGGGGGGATTCTGTGCACTTTTTACTAGTTACATTTATTATTAATAGTATTTCAGATACATTAATTACATAGCTATTAATGAATTACATAAAAATTGTTTTAGATAGACATTGTAAGATTTTTTTTCCTTTGTAGAAAAGGAAGGATGATTAATGCAATTACAAAGGAAGTTTATGAGAGAAATAAAAATATTTCTCTGTGGGTGGGAAGTGTTGCTCCAACATTTAGCCAAATGTAGACACAATACAACAGCCACACCACGCACAGTCTCACACCCTCTTAAACTGGAGTTTGTGACAGGGTTTCAGGGTTAAGAAGAGCATGAACCTGCACCCCAGAACATCACAGGGTGCTCCCTTCTGCTACAGGAAAACAGTAGGGGGAGGGGTGGGCCTCATACCTCACTCTACAAGCCTCATGGGTGGTTCCTGAATACTTCATCCAGAATTCAAGCTATCAAAATTCCTTGCACTGGCAGGAGATGGGACATATGAGAAAGTCATTCCATTTACATCCTTCTTGGAAAAGGAAGGCACGGAAATGGGCAAAATGGAAAATGAATTTCAACTGGTAAAGGCTAACTCTAGGCAGGGATATGGGAGCATAAAATTTTAGAGTTGAAGGAGTCCTTATATTTAATCTAACCTAACACTCCCATTTTACATATGAGGAAACTGAGGCTAAGGAAGGTAAAGGATGTCACACAAATTGTCCACAATTGGAGGCTTCTGCACTGGGGTTCTTTCTTTCACTTGTGAAGTCTAACACCTAGACTGCAGCTGCTGTGACCCACGTGCTCGGTCACACCCAGGAAGGTGGATTCTGACTGCATAGTGACTTGTGCTTTCTTTGACAGAACTCTCTTAACACTTAGCCACGTCAAGCCTGTGAAGCCAGTTTCGTGTGTGCACAGCCACAGCCACAGATCTTTTCTCAACAGGGTTCTGAGATTTGCTCTGCACACTTGCTTTTGCAGGCCAGTGCCTCTCCCCTGCCCTGGTTTCATTCTTACCCTTTCTCTTTTCAGTTACATTCAGGCCACTTGACCCTACCGGCCTCAGTGGAAGACCACACTTTGGTCTCTTTTTCTGGAGCCATATTTGCATAATTAAAGATTTTTACAGGGTGACAACCTACTCCATTGAGAGGTTTTGACGATTATTTTGATTATTTCTGCAAAGCTGTTTCAACAGGCTTCTGACACTCCAGGCCATCCTCACCTTCTGCTTTAGTGATGGGGCTGAGAAGCATTTGCCTCTGGAAACCTCACCAGACCAAGTGTGCTTTATCTTTCTTTTCTTTTGTGTAACCGCTTCCAGACTGCCCTGTTCTTTCAGAGATAATTTCCTTCTTGTGATAATTTACCAAGCATAGTCAATAGCAGTCAACACATGCTAATTAACATTTCTTTTCTAACCTCTGGCCAAAGAGCTACATGCTCATTAGACATATGTTCTGCCTTATTACACTCATCAGTGTGGCCAGCATCTCACCCGTGAGTGGCACTGGGCTTCCAGCCCCCAGTCCCACATTCTTGACTCCTAAGCCAGTGCTACCTGTTTTTAGTTTTGTTCTAGCATTCTTTAAACCCCATTTTCGTATCACTCAGTGCATTTTATACAACAGGGAACAACACACACACATTTTACACACACACACACACAATTTCTCTGTGTGGCTCTGGGTTCAGAGTCTGCCAATGTGCACACATTTTGGGAGGCAGGGCAGAGGGTGAGGCCATTAATCCCAGAGGCATATTTAGGCAGACACATGGACTGCAGAGGGACCCTCTGGTTGCTGAAATATCTCACAGCTTCTGGGGAACCGCCCTTGAGAACCTGCTCCCAGCTGCTGCTTCCCTGCCATTTGCTCCCCAGCTGCTAAAATGCTTGTGCAAGGCATTGCCCTGTTCCATAATTCCTCCTCTGTTGGATGCTTGGAGGGCTTTTGTTTTCTCTAGAACTAGAAGCCTCTCTGATATACCAGTCTTATTTTTCTGCATGGTGTATATGACCATCAGATTATTTATTGAAAGCTTGTCTTCCCTGAATAGACTATGAGCCCTCCTAGGGGAGGGCAAAGGGTTTTCATGTTGGCACAGTGCTGGGTCTTCCATGGGTGGCAGGGCCTGGCCTAGTCGGTATAGCAGGGGAATGATGAATGAACACATTAGTTCAGGAAAGACCGGTTGAATTATAAACTGTCATTTGAATTACTTATCACAAAGGGTTTCTTTAACTGGAAACTCAATGGAAAGGATAAATATGGGATTTATTGAAAATTGCTGAACTCATACTCTATAAAAGTAATACATTTCTAATATCTAATATATAACAAAAACTATGAAAGATACAGAAATCTCTAACAGTCAGCCTCTATGTCCTTCTTACTGTGAACCTGACAATAATTCTTTACCGTGATTAGGGGAGTGGGCTCAGGGTGGCCCAGTCTGGAGATTGTTCTCTGGGTCCCCTGGTGGTATCAGTCCTAGCCTAATTATCTGATGGTCTCAGCAAAGTCTTACTGGGCACTGTGAGCACTACAACGGCTTCCAAGGCTGGGCCTTTGCCTCTGCAGTACAAACCCCTGCAGCCTGCTCTTGGAATCAGCATTTGCTTTGGGAGGCTGTCTTCTCCATAGTTCTTCCTTGTAGTTTGTTTCTTACTTTTTCTTTTTTGTTTTGGTTGTGTCATTTGAGAAGACTCTTAAATAAAAAAAAATTATAATGATTATATGAACTAATATGTATGCATCATTTGCTCTATGCTGGGCACTAAGGGTTGCTCATTTAATCATTTCTCTTTATCTTTAAAACACCTTTAGGAGGCAGACACTATTATATTCCCCATTTTACAGACTAGAGAACAAGGGCTTCAAAAGCTCACGCTACCTGCCAAAGCTTGAACTTGTGAACATAGGGTCTGCTGCCACACTCTGAAATGTATTCTACCATCTCCCTCTCCACTCCGCATCATACTTCATATATTTATTGCAATTTAAGATTCATCAAGCGTTGTGTCGCAGTGCTATTATGCCATTGACTACTATTGGTTATCATTTGTTGAATGCTTACCATGATGAGCTGGGTACTTCAGAAAGAGAATTCTGGTGGTGAGAATGTTAAAATACAAGGAAAACAAAAGGGTTGACAAAGAAAACAAAGCATCCAGAAAAGTTACTAATAAAACTGCCTTGTTTCTCCTTTTGCTCTGTTTCAGGAATACCAAATTGATATATTTTTTGCTCAGACCTGGACAGACAGTCGCCTTCGATTCAACAGCACAATGAAAATTCTTACTCTGAACAGCAACATGGTGGGGTTGATATGGATTCCAGATACGATCTTCCGCAACTCCAAGACCGCAGAAGCTCACTGGATTACCACACCCAACCAGCTCCTCAGGATCTGGAATGATGGGAAAATCCTTTACACGTTAAGGTAAGATGCTGTGTGGGTCTTTAATTCCTTATGGTCTAATTTTGTGCATGTGTAGCTGAAGCAAGCACTCCTTATGGTCTCATTTTAGATCCTTATTTTAAATCGTTATAGGGATGAGACCCTATTTGCATCTCTAAGTTCCATTCCTTCTCATGTTTAACATACTGAGTTACGTTAAACATCCTCAAAGAGTTTGTCCTAATGTCACATGTGTAAAAATAACGATATACAAAGGACCTACAAAGAATACAAACTCATTTCTTCATCAGAATTCATTTCTGCTGGAAGTGGGCTGTGAAAATTATCATTAATATATTTAAACCATTCAGCTAGGAAAATACAGCTGTCTTAGAGTACTCATTAACAAGTGCAGTTAGAGCCATATTGGAGGCCGCAAGGAAAAAGTGGGCGTCCCCAGCACATCCCTCATGGGCGTGTCTGCTACCCCGGGGTGGGTCTCCCTGGAGGCAGAGTGGCCCTCGGCCCTCGCAGAAACCTGGCCAGGTGAGAGAAACTGAGCTTCAGTCACACGCAGTGATTTGCCCAGAGTGTCCATGGGGGCGTCCTCGCTCCAAGGTCTCTGCCCCAGGATGCCGAGTCTGAGTGAACACATCGCAGTGACGCGCCTCAGCTAGCCCGCCGCAGGCACCTCGGATGGGACAGCACCCCAGGGGTGTCCTCCCGGTGCGGGGAGCCCCACAGGGCGCTGCACTCCTGCCTCCCGGGATGGCAGAAGTCAGGGCCAGCCTCCGTTCTCAGTCACCCACTGTCCCAGGCCGCGGCTCCCTCCTGCTCTTTCCCCTCAGCGCGTGGCCCCCATCACGTTACTCGCTTTACGCCCCCCGCTGCTGTAGCTCGCCCATCCCCGCGAGTGTTAAGCCATGACGGTGCTGAGGATTCCCACACGCCGATTCCAACCCTGTAGGTCCCTCGTCCCGCTGGACCCCAGACTCTTGGAGCCACCTGCCTATCAGGTCTAAAGGCATTTCCAAATGAGTTGACTGAGGGGAATGTGACCCTCTCTTTCCTCTGACACTATACCTGCTTCCCCGGGCTCGGGGAACACCACTGCCAGTGCCCTCAGGTGCCCTCTCCTCCCGGCCCTGAGCGCTCTCCCCTCACCCTCACCCCCACACCCAGCACCATGCGCTTTTAACTACAAATGACTGTGCCCGTGAAGAGAAATCTGTGACTCCTAATGTTAAACAAATGTCCATAGCACAAATACAGGCATTGATGAACATGAAAATAAGCAGAAAATTAAAGGTGTTTTTTTTTTTTTCTGGTTGCGTCTTTTTGTTTGTTTTTATTTTTGTTTTTTTTTTATTTCAGCGTATTGTGGGGGTACAAATGTTTAGGTTACGTATATTGCCTTGCCCCTCACCTCCGCCAAGTCAGAGCTTCAAGCGTGTCCATCCCCCAGATGGTGCACATTGCACTCATTTTGTATGCATATACCCATCCCCTCCTCCCCCCTCCTATCTGCCCGAAGCCCAGTGATAAATGTTATTCCTATATGTCCACTTGGGTGTTGATCAGTGAAACCAATTTGCTGGTCAGTACATATGGTGCTTATTTTTCCATTCGTGGGATACTTCACTTAGTAGAATGGGTTCCAGCTCTATCCAGGAAAATACAAGATGTGCTATATCACCATTGTTTCTTAGAGCTGAATAGTGCTCCATGGTATACATATACTACATTGTATTAATCTACTCATGTATTGATGGGCACTTGGGTTGTTTCCACAACTTTGCAATTGTGAATTGTGCTCCTATAAACATTTGAGTGCAGATGTCTTTTTTATAGAATGTCTTTTGTTCTTTTGAGTAGATACCCAGTAATGGGATTGTTGGATCAAATAGTAGATCTACTTGTATCTCTTTAAGATATCTCCATATTGCTTTCCACAGAGGTTGTACTAGTTTGCAGTCCCACCAGCAGTGTATGAGTGTTCTTATCTCTCCTCATCCTTACCAACATTTATTGTTTTGGGACTTTTTGATAAAGGCCATTCTCACTGGAGATAAGTGATATCTCATTGTAGTTTTGATTTGCATTTCCCTGATGATTAGAGATGTTGAGCATTTTTTCATATGTTTATTGGCCATTATTCTGTCTTCTTTTGAAAAGTTTCTGTTCATGTCCTTTGCACACTTTTTGATAGAGTTGTTTGATTTTTTCCTTGCTGATTTTCCTGAGTTCTAAATAGATTCTAGTTATCAGCCCTTTATCAGATGTGTAGCTTGCGAAAATTTTTTCCCATTTTGTAGGTTGTCTGTTAGCTCTCCAGTTTCTTTGGCTGTGCAGAAGCTTTCTAATTTGATCAGGTCCCATTTATTTATTTTTGTTGTTGCTGTGATTGCCTTTGGAGTCTTCTTCATAAATTCTTTGCCTAGGCCAATGTCTAGAAGAGTATTTCCAACATTTTCCTCTAGAATTATAATAGTTTAACACCTTAAGTCTGTTACCCAGTGAGAGGTGAAAGGTGTGGATCCTGCTTCAGTCTTCTATATGTGGCTATCTAGTTTTTCCAGCACCATTTATTGAATAAGGATTCTTTTCCCCAGTGTATGTTTTTGTCTGCTTTGTCAAAGATTAGATGGCTATATGAGTATGATTTTATATCTGGTTTCTCCATTCTTTTCCACTGGTCAATGTCCCTGTTCTTGTGCCAGTACCAAGATGTTTTAATCACTATAGCTTTGTAGTATAATTTGAAGTCTGGAAAATTGATACCTCCCATTTTGTTTTCATTGCCTAAGATTGCTTTTGCTATGCAGGGTCTTCTATGCTTCCAAACGAAGTGTAAAATTATTTTTTCTATGTCTGTGTAAAATGATGATGGTATTTTAATAAGGATTACACTGATTCTGTAGATCACTTTAGGTAGTATAGACATTTTAACAATGTTGATTCTGCCAACCCATGAGCATGGTATGGTTTTCCTGTTTACATCCTGTGCTATTTCCTTCCTCAGAATTTCATTGTTCTCCCTGTAGAGGTCTTTCACCTCCTTAATTAAATATATTCCTAAGTACTTTATTTTCTTTGTTGTTATTGTGAAGGGAAGTGAGTCTTTGGTTTGGTTCTCAGTTTGACTGTTATTAACGTATATAAATGCCTCTGATGTGTGTGTGGAATTGTTTTTGTTTTTTTAAAGACAGGGTCTTGCTCTGTAGCCCAGGCTGGAGTGCAGGGGCACGATCATAGCTCACTGCAATCTCAAACTGCTGGGCTCAAGTGATCCTCCTGCCTCAACCTCCTGAGTAGCTGGAACTATAGACATGCCCCACCCCACCCAGCTAATTTTTAATTTTTTTTTTTAGAAATAGGATCTTGCCATGCTACCCTGGCTGTTCTCAAGCTCCTGGCCTCAAGCAATCCTCCCACTTCTGCATCCTAAAGTGCTGGAATTACAGGCATGAGCCACTGTGCCTTGCCAGATTAGAGATTTTTTAAGATTTCAGGGAAATAATAATTTTGCTAGGCAGGAAACAACAACAACAAAAAGCCACAACAGGGCATTGTGCTGATGAAATAAGGTGAGAGAGCTAGAGTTTGTAAAAGATGTGCCCTCATCAACCTCAATGCAATACGAATGACACTCTGAAATGAAGCTGAGCCTCAGCAAAGCAGAATGGAGGCATACCAGCCCTGGGGTCCTTCACAGAGACTCTGAAATCCAGGAGTGTCTGCTCTGTAAGAGTGCAGTGCTCCCACTTCACAGAGCCACTGCTTCCCTTGTGAAATAGGAGGAAGTTGTCCAAATAGAAATTCCCCCTTTACAAGTGGATTAATTTGGCATACTACCTATGTAGACAAATCTACAAGTTTCCAAATGGAGGAAGGATCTAATTCAAACAGATTGAAAACAACAGTTGGTTTTGTCTCCTTTCTGACTTGGCTTGTATTTCTAAACACAGTTGGAATTTTACTAACTGGAATTCCCTCTGCTACTGATAGTTAAAAGCAAAACAAAATAACACAATAGGAAAGCAACCAAACGGTCTCACCAAAGAAATAGTGGCATTGCCAAGAGTGAGTTGCATGTGCTGGACCCTGAGTGACGGGTGCTGCCCTCCCCTCTCCCTGCACTGTGGGGACTTGACTGCACCCCACCAGCCTTGCCCAGGGATGGTGCTGTGTTGTTGCTGACCTCAAGAGTGACGCGTGGCTCTTCCGCAGGCTCACCATCAACGCAGAGTGCCAGCTGCAGCTGCACAACTTCCCCATGGACGAGCACTCCTGCCCGCTGATATTCTCCAGCTGTGAGTACCAGCACCCTCTCAGGGTGTGAATGCTGTGTAAGGGATGTCTAGCCTTCTGACAAAGTCCTGTGTTTGACTACAGTGTCTCTGTACAAGCAGAGAAAACTGATAATGGTGTTGGTATTGGCCACCTGGGTGTTTCCACTCTAGAGCTTGTTATATAGAACCCATGTTACAAAATAGGTGACTTCGATAAAGCTGTGATCAACTTAACCATTCATAATAATATTATATTAAAGGATTCAGAAATTGATGAACAGTTGACTTCCCAAAGACCCTTATGCTAATGAGCTATGCACACTATCTGGGACTGACTATACAAAATTCCTATGCAATATTTTTATATTTAACGTTGTCTTCTTAATAGAAAGATTTTTCTTCTAAATAGAAAGGTACAATTTTTAAAAAAAATTATATGTATATTTATCTCATTGAACTACTATAGGATGATGTAATTTTTATAGTATTTTAATTTCTAATATTGTAGTTATGATTGGTATTATAACTAATAAGTAATCATTTACAAATTCTTAAAGACCACAACTACTGCTAAGTACAAGAGTACATATAAAAGGAAATAACAAATCTCAAATTTATTTGCTTATTTATGAAGTTTTTAAGTAAAAGTCAATATGGAAATATTTCTTTTTTTTATTTTAATTTTAATTTTTTTATTTTAGCGTATTATGGGGGTACAAGTGTTAAGGTTACATATATTGCCCAAGCCCCCCTCTCCCCTCAACTAAGCGCTTCAAGTGTGTCCATCCCCCAAGATGGAAATATTTCTGTTGAATGAATTTATGATGGTTCACTTTAAACGAATTACTCACAAGTGCTTACATTTCACTTGTAAGAATTTAATTAACTATACCGACTTTTTAAAAAATTACATAAGGAACATGACAAACAAAATTAAAAATGATTTTGATATAGAGCCTCAAACAAAAATTTTCGGTGTCCAGAACTTGGCCATAATTGTATACTTAGTGCACCTACAGGACTTGAATCATAATGAGCATTCAGCTGCAGACACAATTGGTGGTCACATTCATTTCCTATTACTACTGAACAAATTGCCACAAACTTAGTGGCTTAAAACAGCACAAATTTAGCATCTTACATTTCAGTAGATGAGAAATCTGAAAGCCCTAAAGTGAAGGTGTGGGCAGAGCAGAGTTCCTTCCTGAAGGCCCCAGGGAAGAGTCCATCTCCTTGCTTTTCTCAAGCTCCTCCAGGCCACCCACAAGTTTTGGCTTGAGATCCCTTCCTCCACCTTCAAAGCCCCACAGAACATCTCTCTGACCCTTCTTTGTCCTTACATCTCTCTCCGACCACAGACAGTAAAGTTCCTCTGCTTTTAAAGACCCATGTGATTAGACTGGGCCCACCTTACATGGTCCAGGATAGTCTCTCCATCTAAAACGCTTAACTTAATTGTAGCTGCAAAGTCCCTTCTGACATGTAAGGTGAGTGTTAACAGGTTCTGGGTTTTAGGGTATGAACATCTTCAGTGTTATTATGCTGCCTACCACAATCACTAGTCATGCAAGAGCATTCCAAGTCCTGGGAACCTGGCTGATAGATCCAGCATTCCCCAAACTTTTGGCACCAGGGACTGTTTCATGGAAGACAATTTTTCCACAGATAGGGGATGGGGGGAATGGTTTGGGGATGATTGAAGTGCATTACATTTATTGTTTAGAGTTTGGCCCTTACGTTTTGCATATGGTGTGAGATAGGGGTCTGAATTCGTTATTTTGTGTGTTGTATATCTAGTTGTCTCAGCACCATTCATTGGCTCTTTCCCAATGAAGTACTTTGCCACCCATGAATTTACCATGAATCAAACATGAATGTAGGAGTTTGTTTCAGGACTCTCAATTATATTCCATTGATCTATGGGTCTCTTTATGGTACCACCACACCACATTGCCTTGATTATTGTGGCTTAGCAGTAAATTTTGAAATCAGAAGTGTGGGCCCTCTAAATTTGTTCTTCTTTTTCAGCATTGTTTTGACTATTCCAGATATTTAAATTGTCCATATAAATTGTAGGATCACCTAATCAGTTTCTGAAAAAAAAAAAAAAAAGGCCAACTGGGTTTTTGATATGTATTGCACTGAATCTCAGACTGATTTGGGGTGTATTGCCATTTTAATAATATTAAGTATTTCAGTTGAAGAACACAGGATGCCTTCCCATTTGTTTAGGTCTTCTTTTATTTCTTCTAATAATGAAAGACACTTCACAACTCCAACTTAGTTTTCACTTCCTGCTTATTTCAAGAAAGTTACATAGTTGGGATCATATATACATATATAGCCTTTTGAGATTGGCATTTTTCACGCAGCTCAAATTCTGTGGCAGGCTATCCAAGTTGTATATGTCAGTAATTTGTTTTTGTTGCTGACTAGCATTCCATTTTAAGGATGTACCAACTGTTTGCTTAACCATTCATCTATTGAAGTACATGAGGGATGTTTTCAGTATTAAGAATAATGCTACTATGAACATTCATGGTCAGGTTTTTGTATCAACACAGCTGTTCACTTCTCTGAGATAAATGCCCATGTGTACAATCACCATGTCATGTGTTATGTATATTGTTAGTTTTAAATGAAACTTCCAAACTATTTTCTACGGTGACTGTGTCATTTACACTCCCACCAACAATATATCCAGTTTTTCCACATCTTTGTCAATTTTTGATGTTATCCGTCCTGATAGGTGTGTAGTGATAGCTCACTGAGGTTTTCATTTACATTTACTAATAGATAATGATGTTGAACATCTTTCATGCTTATTTTCCATCTGCGTATCATCCTTGTTGAAGTGACTATTTATGTTTTTCACTCATTTATAATTAGATTGTTTATTTCTGTTTAGTTTTTAGTATATATTTTAAATTATGACAAAAATCTATAATGTAAAATTTGCCATCTTAACCATTTTAAGGGTACAATTCAGAAATATTAAGTATATTCACAGTATTGTACAACTATCACCATTGTCTATTTCCAGAATTTTTCATCATCCCAAACAGAAACTTTATCCTCATTAAACAATAATTCCTCATTCTCTCCTCTCCCCATCCTTTGGTAACCTCTGTTCTACTTTCTCTAGAAATTTGACTACACTAGATAACTTATGTATGTGGAATCATACAATATTTGTTCCTTTGTTCTTGGTCTTATTCTCCGAGTAGCATCATGGTCTCTTCACTCCCAAAAGTCTTCATTTTCAAATTAACACTTCTTGTTCTTTTTGTATGATATCTCTTAGATCTGTCCAATAGAAATACAATGCAAGCTACTGATATAATCTTAGATTTTCTAGGAGTTGCACTTTTTAAAAGTAAAAAGAGACAGTCAAAATTAATCTTACCACTACATTTTATTTCACACAATCAATGCAAAATATTATAATTTTAATATGCAATCAACATGAAAAAATTTATCAGTAAGATATTCTAATAATAGTCTGAGATATTTTCATACTAAGTAGTAGGTGCCAGTGTGCATTTTATACTGGTGGCACACTTCAGTTTAGAGTGGCCACATTTCAGTTGCTCAGTAGCCTGTCCACAGCTCATGCCACTGGCCACCATGTTGTTAGAAAGCACAGTCTCAGATTGATCCAGAGGTCTTCAAACAAGGCCACAGGGTCTTTGTGAAATGTGAACATGGGGAAAAATTCTCAAGGCATCACAGGAAGACCATGCTCGTTAGGATTCAGTGCCCGCAGGGAGGCTCCATGTGTGTTTTGAGGTCAGTTTCATCCCCTCAAGGTATTTTCCTAGCTGAATGGTTTAAATATATTAATGATAATTTTCACAGCCCACTTCCAGCCAAGGCAGGATGGCCAGCAGGACTGGACAGGATAGCTGTACTGAGCCTCATCGCTGTCAGGCTTTGCAGTATCCTATTGGCTGTGCAGAGGTCCAAAAAGACCAGACAGACCAGCACACGTTTATTTTTAGGAGCCACTAATACCCTCCTTCTTCCTGTGTGTGCAGCAGGCAGGATACAGCCAAATGCATTTCTTTCTAAACCCTTCTTGGTGTGACCTAGAGAGAGAACCAAGCACTCTTTATTCATCCAAATGCTTTGTAATTGGTGTGTGTGTAGGGGGAGGGGTGTTAAAATAAGCCAAGTCAAAATCTCCTGTTCTCTGCCTGCTGTCCAGGTGCATTAGTGAGGTGGCCATCTGCCAGGTAGGGCATCCCAGCAGGTGCCTTCCTCCATGCCTTCCACTCTGGCGGGAAAGGAACAACTGCTCCTTCAAAGTCCTTCCCCTTGTTGGAGGAGTTGATCACTGAACAGCAGATGCTGTGAGGTGCCAGCAGTAGCCTTATGTCCTCTGAAGCAGATGCTCAGTGTGAGACTTCCAAAAGGCCATCCACTTCCAAGGGCAAGGAAGTTCCCAGGGTCCCAGCTACCAGACAGGTAGACATCAAGGTCCAGAATGCTCAAGCATCTGCTTTAATCCACATATTTGAAAGTAGGTAGAGGGAGCTCTCTGGCATGTCTGGGAGACATGGTGGAATCCAGCAGCCCAGACCAGTGAATAAGAATAGAGATGGTGCCCTGGGACCAAGTTTCCCATCAGGGACCACACCAGGCTGATGTGTGCTGGAGGTGAGATAGACCTTTGCCATCTTCTCTCTTTGCCTGTCCCACACTCCTCAAGGCGCTGTCCCTGTACCTTCTCCCCTTCTCCCTGCTCTCTGACTTCCCATTCCTGTGGACTGGTATGCTTTGTGGGGTGGGAGGCTGCCAGGTGTGGATGGTAAGGCTGGCTATGCGTTCCCTCCAAGTTGACAATAACAGAGCCTGCAGCAGATAGGGCCAGGGCTTTGTATTTTTTTCTAGTAGCTGACATCCTCCTTTGGTAGAACTCGTTACAATGGCAGATCACTACTGCATAGGACTGCTCTGGCTCCTGCCCCCCTTGAAGGTGGGTGATTTTTATTCCAACTTTAGGTGAAGTAATTTGTTCA